AAAAATGGCGTACTCTGCCATTTGTTGTGCCATATTTGGTGCCTAAAATTAGCTGTCTCATTTTTGAGAAGTGGTTTTGGCAGGACCTTCATTAGCCATCTCGTTTAGTTTACTTCATCGCATTATTATCGAGATGCTCATTTTTGGATGCCTACTAGAAGTAGATAGAAACACAAATTTTTGCTTTTGGAAGTCCCACTTTACTGATGATTGACATTCCGTCTGCGATCAAAATTTATTAGTCTCATTTTCGTCAAAAATAGCATCGCATTGATAGAACGACTCGTGATTGAGTGTAACCCGTCCGTGTCTGCGCCTGTCTCGTTTTCTATTTTTGGATAATTTGATGGAGCTCCTGCTGAGTCGGATTAGAATTACAGTAGAGCTTCTCCTCGCTTTTATTCTGCATGCATATCCTCAAGGAAGCGGCTATAAATAAAGCAAATGTAGGAGAGTGAGGAGTCCACGGAGAGCGCCCAAAGCAGCCGTATCGATGCGCGCAGATAATCTCAGGTGATAAGCGAGCCGTTTCACGAGTCTCTCCTCTGATAATCAATCCTCTCATCCATCTTACTGCTTAACACCAACAACGACTCTGATGAATTCTCTTCAACTGTTTTAACTGCTACTCTCAATACATTAGTTGCTAAACATAGCGGAGATGTCTCAAGAAAGCTCAGAGTCGGCTCATTGTTTGGACACTGTTGGTGTTGGTGGTTTCGTTATTGAATCTTTCCTCCTTCTGTAAATATCCAAAATTCTGTGCTTTTTAAATCTTTAATTCTAAGCATCCTCTCTGAAGCTTTTTTTTAGAACACTGCAAGCCTCGATGACTTCGATCGCATCAAAACGTTGGGTACAGGATCGTTCGGAAGGGTAATGCTGGTAAAACACAAGCAAACAGGGAACTACTTTGCCATGAAGATACTGGATAAACAAAAGGTGCTGTATGTTCATTCTTTTTTCAAAGCTCTCACTGAATTCTCTTGATATTTCAGGTTGTGAAACTGAAACAAGTCGAGCATACGCTGAACGAGAAGCGAATCCTGCAGGCAATCGACTTCCCTTTCCTCGTTAACATGCAGTACTCTTTCAAAGTAGGTTTTTTTTTGAATGTCGAGATTCTCGAGGATCAGGCGTCTTCCATTGCATTAATGTTTTCCCGCTTGGTTTTGCTACTCTTTCACCATACTTGGATATTTTGGAGAAATATGCAGTCTGCTACAATGTGAACCAAAGTCAAAATAGTCGACGTTCTTTTGATGGTAAATCAAGCAGCGTGGTCTTCTTTTTTCCATTTTTTTTTTTGATATTCTGGAGGACGCATGCGTCTTTAACTATGTGCG